CTCTCTCTCTCTCTCTCTCTCTCTCTCTGCCAACACATACATACGCACGCACGTGCACACACATACACACTCCTTTTTTCTTTTTCGTAGAGAATTCTCTGTGTGCTGTGATAATCTTCATGTTATGATTTCTCTTTGTTCTGTTACGATCATCATGTTACAAAGTTTTTATCTATAACGTTATTATAACGTACGTTTATGTCGCCCAAGATAACACAGCCACTTCGGTTTTTTCTGACATCATCCTGACCAACCTCTCCCCTCATCGTTATTGTCGCCATTGGCCCTCATTGTTATTGTCATTATCATCGTCTCTCCTCGAGTATCATCGTCTCTCCTCGAGCCCCGTCTTGTGACCTGCCGCTGTTGTATTGTATTCTATATGTGCGTGTTCAGTTTGGTGGTAGGAGGTATTAAGCAGAGGTCTCACTTTAGTGAATGGTTGATGGGTGCTCTGGTGTGGTTTGCTCCTTTTTTTCCTCTCAAACATCAGTCATCCTTATCTCTCCCTTTTTTTGGTGTGTTTGTTACTCTCTCGTAACACCTCTAATCTTCAGCACTTTTATGACCCAATTGTGTTGCAAGTGCAGTAAAACTCTTACTTTCTAAAGCTAAAACATCAGTTTGGTGGTAGAAGGTACTAAATAGTACTTTGTGGGTCAGAGCTGTTGTTGTAGGTGTTTTGCTCACAGCGTGACGGGCTTCACATAATATAATTTGTTGGGCTTTCACGGAGATGGGCATCCTTTGATTCTCATACTCTTACTTACAAACACTTGGAATGGAACGTTTATTTGTTGCTTCCAGTAATTTGTGGACAGAGAAAAATAAGGAGAAAAGAGCCTGTGTTGCTTTGGGTGATGTGCACTCAACTTTGAGCTCATTCTCAAGAAGCTAAATGTATAGGTATTGCACATCTACATCTCTTGTTATTTATAGGTATCAAGGTATTAGATATTCACATCTCTGTTATTTGTTGTTATTGTTGTTTTCGCCAGGGAACAAGAGCGTAAGTAAGAATTTGGTTGTAAACACCTCCAAAAAGAGCCACTAAAAACGTTTTGATTAGAAAAACAATTTTTAAAAACCCAAATAACGCAGGTTTCTGCATTTGAAAAGTGTAGTTATTATTTTGACTTTTGAAGTTATTCTGTGATTTTGTGTTTTTACATTGTATGCACGCACGTACGCACCATCTCACTCACATTCATATTGTTACTTGTTAAGAATTGTGCAGTGATAAATGTGGCTATGTATATAGTAACAGTAGCCAGTTGTGGGAATTGAAGGGCGCAACTTATAGTTCCTACTTCTTTTCTTGTCGTCTGATGTTTCTGTCTGTCTGTCTGTCTTGCTTTTCTCCCTTCACAAAAGGACAGTTACCGCGTCGATGTGCATTTCTTTATTCTGAACCGTTGCTAGTTGTCAACGACTAGTGAAAGTTTTCCACATTCATAAGCAAGTACACTCGATCGACCATTTTTCTACGGTGGTTGTTGTTGCTGTTGTTGAAGAAGTTTTATGCCCCTTTCTTCAGCACACTGAGAAGATGTCCTTGGAGCACGAAGTGTTCACACAATCCTTAGATAGGAGATGTCCCTCTTGGTCCCGGGTTTGACTGCTCAGGATGAGGGAACGCCACCTGGTATTTTTTTTGTTCTCACTTCCTGCAGATTGTGTATTCGAACTGTGAAAAATCAGACCTCTGTTCAACTGACTGTTTTCCACTTTATTTTATTTTATTCTATTTATTTATTTATTTATTTATTTATTTATTTATTTATATATTGGGGTCTACTATTTCCCTTTTAACCCCTCAAGTCAAATAAATTGAATTATTGGATTACTAACCCCTTTCGCCCTCTCCCTTCAGACTCGTCCATCCTGACTCCCACCCCTTTGTCGGAGCTGAAAGCAGCGAAAGGATTCATTAAGGCCATTGCCAAAAGAGATAAGGAGTTGGACAGTATCAGGCGAAAACATGAGAAGGTTGGTGCTTGTACTGGATGTCCGGCTCGTTTTTGTGTGTGTGTGTGTGTGTGTGTTTGTGTGTGTGAAGACACTGCAAGTTGATGTTATCTATGTGCATATATGTATGTAAATGTCTGTGGGTGCATTTACAGTACGGATGTATTTACTCTTTGTTTTTTTTTGAGTTGTAGATTTGACAGAGTGAAAAGGGTACATATACAGCTAAGTTTGTATAGTTGATGATTGATTTTTGAAACTGACTGAGAAAAAGTTCTGTGCTTTAGTGTGAGTTCACAAATTTAAGTGTCCTGTGTGTGTGTGTTGGTCTGTACATATGTGTCATGACGCGGTGGAATCAGGCGCTTGTCAATTTTTGGGATTGTGGAGTTATTGGTATCATTTGAAAGCTGATTTATTTGCCTTGCTGCAAATGAAATAAATATCCCATAGAAATAGAACTCAAGGTATCTGCAATTGAAGGAAGTGAGGTCGCCTAGTTTCAGTGGTAAAATTTGCGAGAAAATGACAACCAAAGTTTGGCAACTCCAATAGCTAAAGAGTCTTTGAAAACTGAAAAATGACTAATTTCACGCCTTTAATCAATGTTTTTCGGTCAAATTCACATGGAAATGTGTTTTTATTTGGACTCAAAAAAAGGTTCTTAGTTTTAGTAAGATTTTATAGCGCTCACAACCGCATAAGGTCATATAAGCGTCAAGGATGAATGTCAATAGAGAAGTCCAAATGGGGAATCAAGCTTGCTCTGCTCACCCCAACAGCACAAAGTCTGCTTAAATCATCAAGGCACCCTGGATATAGGATTTCACAAGAGAGTGACAAATATACAAAAGAAACAGAGGAAAAAATGGTGATAGTAAGGATGAGGAAAGAAAAAGCAGCAGTTCCCTCTATTTTGTTCTGGCACAGTATGAGTATAACATTGGTAAATGAGCCTATTTACAGTTCTACTGTGTATAAGAACATGTTAATATTCCCCCGTTTGGGAATGGGGAATGGCCTAAAGACAACTGCCCTGTGGTGGGGGAGGGGGGGGGGGGAATAAAAGAGGTTAAGCCAAAAAATAAAAATTGAATCAAAATTTCCAAACTAACAGGAAAATGCCTGTTTCTCTGATTTCGTTATTTTGACGAGCGCCCGATTTCACCTCTTATCTTCGGCACTTTTGATTTTATTGTGTTGCAAGTGCTATAAAACTTGCACTAAAACTAAAACTGTCTTTTTACCGCAAAGTCTCCTCTCAGCTACAGAACTCAGTTGATGCCATTCCAGGCTATGGTGCGTGTGACCAATGGGGTATTCATGACCTTGAGTTTTTTGTTGTTGTTGTTGGGTTTTTTTTTTAATTGTCGTGGCTGTTCTTGGACTTGGCTCTTCTTAATTTAGACATCCAGCCTCTTATGATGATTGTGTTGTTGAAAGGGGCATTCAGCCTATAGTACATTAGATACCATGAGCTGAATGTAATTTGGTTCTGAGAACTGAGCACTTAATCAGCTGCTTGCACTGTATGCTTCCTGACCTACTGCGAAGCAGAGAAAATGTTTTGCAGTGTCTTTGGGTCTGCTGGGGTAATAATGTTGTGTAAAGTAGATACAGTTTGCTGTCGAGCAGGGATATACACTGTACAAATGCTATATATCACTCATTACCATCATACAGTCAAACCCACTCTAACAGCCACCTATAAAAGACGATCACCTGTACAAACAAACACCTCCCATTCCCCCCCCCCCTTCCTTTTTTTGTTAAACACATTAAGATGACCCTGTATAAGACGGCCGCTGTCTACTTTCTACTCGACAATGGGTGGCGGTCTGAGACAATTTTGACTGTACCTTTAGTATAAAAGAAATAGAATACACTCACTCCGCATGAAGTGTGATGTCATAATGTGTGTGTGTGTGTGTGTGTGTCACTCCATATAAAGTGTGATGTCATAATGTGTGTGTGTGTGTCACCCCGCATGAAGTGTGATGTCATAATGTGTGTGTGTGTGTGTGTGTGTTACTCCGCATGAAGTGTGATGTCATAATGTGTGTGTGTGTGTGTGTTGGTCAGGCCCGAGAGATCCTGGAAGAGAACCACCAGCTGTTGCTGCACAAGCTCATTTCCAACCAGACCAAAACCCGCATCTCCATGGAGAAGCAGCATTCCAAGGTGCTCAAGAAGATGGCCAAGGAGGGCAAGAGCACAGAGCAGAAGCAGAACCAGCTCAAGGGGGAGCTGCAGGAGCTGCTCACTATACAAGATCTCAAGGTGATTTCCAGGGCTGCTGACTACTTTTATTTAATTTTGTGTGTGGGGGGTGGGGGGGTGTCTTGCCAGAAAGAGTTAAACACAAATATCACGACTTTTTTTCGAAATAGATTGAAATTTTCTTATTACCAAAAGCAAGGCAAATATAGAGGCTTTAAGGTTATACCAATAACTTCATTTGCCCAAAAATTGACAGGCGCCCTATTCCGCTGGGTCATGACACATGGAGTTTCTCATCTAAACAGCTGTGAACATGAAAAAATGTCAGAAGCTTTCTTGGGGAAGCTACACTCCTTTATCTTTATGATTATGTCCGTTCTTTGTCTTGAGTCAAAGCACATCTTGTGAAAGTACTTGATTCAAGTTGTAAAAAAAAACCATTTTATCGAATTGGAAATCAATTACCTAGTCAGTGAGTGAAATTCAGTAGCATTTGAGATTACAACTTCAAAGTGATTATAAGAAGGGGGCAGCGGTCTGGAGGAAGAGATGTTTCCGTTTGCAAAATGCAAGCCCTTTGTGTTGTGGTAGTTTATCTTGCCTAGTGCAGACATTGATATGGGTGTCTGTGCTTCATGTTTGTAAGAGCGGGACTGGAGGGGGCAAATCAATGCACTGTGGATGCTCCTCAGAGGTGGTCATTAATGTCATGTGTCCTGTGTTTTAGAATAATATCAAAAGAATTTCTAAAATATTCGTTCTCTTCCCCCAGCGCCGAGAGATGAAGGCATCTCACAGTGCCGCACTCATGAAACTGTGCAAGGACCATTACCAGGCAGAGCTGGAGCTGCAGACCCGCCACCATACGCAGAGATATGATGTGTTGAACAAGTTGATGGAGGCCAACCACACAGCGCATGTACGACGTTTGGATGAGATCCACGACCAGGAAGTGGGAGAGTTGATGAAGCGCATGGATGCCCAGAGTCGAGACCACATGAAGTCTTTGGGGAAGAGACACAAGGATAAACTGGAGTTGTCTAGGTGAGGACTAGACAGACAGACTAGTAGAGACACAAGGTCTGCTAGGGTAATAATAGTTCTAAAGCATATAGGGCATGCTGTAGATTGTGGATATCAGCTATAAATGAATTTTTGTAAAAGGTGGTAAGGCATAATCAAATAGACCTAATTTATAAGAGAATTGTCTTATGAAAGAGATATCTTCTCCTGGATTTCCTGATTTCATCACAGGACTGGAGAAGCAGGGGTAAAACACTGTATTTGTAAACTCTGGTCTAATCTTGAAGCTGCAGATGCATGGTTTCAGCTACCATACTAAAATAATACAAGTGTCAGACTATATTTGAAGGGTACAAGGGAAAAGCTTTTTTGATCATTTGAGTTGTGATATGAGTTGGAAAGTGTTAACGCCCCTCTTCTGGCATATCTGAGTGTCCAGGACTAAACCTGATAAGTCGCCCAATATCAAGTTTGGGAAATAAATTATACTATGGAAAAATGTGGGCTTTCAAACATTTCATTTATGGTTTTTTTCTATATGCCAGAAAGTGACATACTCTGTTTTTCCCTTGTGCCCTCACTTGTATACCATACATTTCTCTCTTATAAGTGGGTGGTTGGTGGATGCGCTGGTTTTATCTGCTCTTTCTACTTCTTTTTTTTTTTCAGCGTTGCTGTTTAACTTTTCAGCTTTATTGCTAATTTTGATTGGTGTTTCCTGTGCTTTCTTCAGAATAAAACGAGAAGCTGAACAGAAACATGTACAGACAGCAGTGTTAGAAAGGCAAAAGGTAAAATAAATGTGGATTAGTGTGTGTTATTTTGTGTGTTTGCATTTGTGTAAGTCTGTGCTTGTAGAAGTAACTCCACATAACTCTACGACACAGGATGGGTTGGGGAAAAAAAAAGAAAAGAAATTTCCTATTTTTGTTGCAACAGCAATGAATGATATGGGTTTAAAGAATAAGCGATGCATGTACTCCTGTGCAGAATTGAGCGTTATGTTAGGCAGTGTTTAGCAACGACTGTTTCGCTTTTGTTCATATCTTTTTACATTGTGCCATCCTTGTTCGCTTGATGACTAAGCAAGATTTTGAACTCGTACCTAGGCATTACCCATCCACTACATGCTGTAGCCTTCGGAAAATGACTTCCACTCTGTTCTCTTGACTCTTTTTTCATTTCCAGGTTATGGCCATACGCTCTATAATGTTATCTTCCACTTTCTTTCTGGTCTTCCTCTGAATCATTTTCCTGTTGTGTCTCAACTCAGTGCCTCTTTTGTCCATCTGTCATCCTTCATTCTGCTGATTTTTCCAACTTCTTTAATTAATGGTTTTAGTGACTATACTCTTTCCCAGTGTGTCCCCTTACGACCTGTGTAAGCAGATACATTTTTTTTCTTATGTGAAGATTGTAATCAATCTTGTGTTTTCAACCTGAAGAAAAAAAGTTTGTAAAGCATATTCTGCTGAATACTAATTCTCATAACACTCTGTGCTGTTTGTTTTTATGATTTGTTATTCGTTAGAAATATTTTTGTATTCCACTGCAAAAATTTGTAAATATGTCATCACTCTGGATAAACTTGTATGTATTTCTGATCCCTGATAGTTGAAAGATATCTTGGAAAAACGCCAGGGTGACCTTGAGGCAAAACTGGATGAGATCAAGAAAGAATTCCAGAAAGAGCGAGATGAGGTGAGCTGAACTCTTTGAGCCCTGGACCATAAAGCACTTCTGGATCCATGCACCTTGGTTGAATGCTAGATTTACACCTAGGCGCACTGAGATGTATATGTGAGACATCCTGGTGAAATCAGGCGCTTGTCAAAATAATGAAATCAGGAAAATGGCATTTTTCGGCTAATTGAGCAATTTTGATAGCATTTTTTTGATTAGGCTCAACACCTTTTTATGTCTATTTAAAAGCACACTTCTGTGCGGATTGTCCTGAAAAACATTGATCAAAGGCACAAAAAATGTAAATTTTCATTTCCCATGGACTCTCAAGCTATGGAAGTAACCAAACTTTGGTAGCCATATTCTCGCTGATTTTGCCTCTGAAACCCAGTGACCCCCACCTTCTTCCATCAGAAATATCTCGACTTCTATTCAAGATAGATGGGTATTTTTTCCCCATCAAATGCAAGACAAATGAACAAGCTTTTAGATGATACAATTAATTCCACGTGCCCTAAAATTAATGAACTCCAGATTCCACCGTGTAGTGACACTTATGTCAAAACATGGTGGAATCAGGCGCTCTTCAGTTTTTTGGCATATGGAGTTATTGGTATTATTTCAAAGCTTGTTCATTTGTCTTGCTTAGAGCTTGGCGAATATATGCTTCCGATGGCCTCGACCATTGGGGCAGGTTTGAAGTAGGGTGCATAGTTTCCTGTTTAGCTGACGGTTTCACTCTAAGACTGTTCAGAGTTGTCAATTTTTTTTTTTAAATTTACACTTGCCTGTGCTGATCATAATATTTCTTTTGATTCTATGCTACCATGTGCAGAGTTGCAGTAACCTGTACTCAACTGACTGATCTTTTTTTAAAAAATGAAAGTAATGTGCAATTGAAATTATATTGATGTGTTTTTACCATTCCTGCTCAGCCATAGAAAATTTGCCGCAGAGACAATAAAGTATATTGTCTTGTCTTATCTATCTATCTTGACTTATCTTGTCTTTTCTTATAGTATTATAATTACTTGCTCCTCAGGTTTTGTGTGGATTCAAGGATAGCTATGATGAGAAAACACAGAAGCTGGATGACGACCTGGACAGTGCGCTTGGGGATGATGATCTCAACGAAGAGGAGAACGGAGCAGTCAGCAAGTCTTCGGCTCATGACTCGGAGCCTCTGAGCAGTCCTGAGATTCCTCTGAGCCCCAGTGATAGTGAAGGGAAGTCTCTCTCTAACGGAGAACTGGAGAAAGGGCAGCATATGACCACCATCACTGTGAAGGCACCAAGTAAGGAGAACGGCAATGCAGTCCATGAGGATGAGGAGACAATTGAGAAGGTGAACAGTGAGGAACGGCTAACTAACATGTGAATAATTTGACCATTCAGACACCTCATTGCTCGGGGTGAGGAGAGTTGCTCACCTATCTATTGGAAGGGGCAGCGATGCATTTAGAGGCCTGGTCTTTTGATTAACTGACCGACTTAAACTGAATTTGATTCAGACCACGAGCTAATGAGAGTGAAATGGAGGACTGTTCATTCTTTTTTGACTGTTGGAAAGTACAGCTCTTCTTCATCCTAGAGATTTCAGATGAATGACCCATGACATTTTGCCTCTTTTGACACCAAATGATTGGTCGATGTGTTTATGTGTCTGTGTGTATGTGTTTTTTATCTGCTCTTCATGATATGCGAGGAAGGGGCGAATGAGTCAGAGACCACAAGAGATGCATCCGTGTCACAGGGGAGATTCCAGTACAACTGATCTCATACTTTTCCTGTCTTTTTCCAAGCGCTGCAATGACTGTCTGTCTGCACATCGGATCTCCTCTTGTTGTACAAGCACAAATGTTGTGTACATTTAATTGGAATTTAGTGTTGTATGCACCAGAAAAAGCTAACCATTACCATTTCTGTATAATGTTCCACATTTGATGAAAGGAAAGAGAAAAAAAAAAACCCAAACAAACTGTGTAAACTTTACACTCTCTCTAACCATGCAAGCATGTGTCCTGTTCAGGAGGACTGCACTTCAGATGTCTGCTGTAGCAGCTTCTGTCCCTGATGGATGTCCACCTTATGGCTACTTGCATACTCTGCCACTACATGATCATGCAATTTATGGGAAGCGAGGAGTAGTCCTGGTAAAGCAGTGGACAGTTAGTTCAGCTACAGGACAACACCCCCCCCCCCCCCCCCCAATTCAGAGATAAAAACAAAACGTACGTCTGCAATTTGATTTACATTTACATTACTTACCTACTGTCTCTTTTGGCCTTAGGCTCAAACCTTTTTAACCTGAGAGAGAAATGTGGAAAGTTCATGCGTCCATTTCAAAAAGGTGGCTTGATTGAATGAAAGTTTTATAGTACAGTACTTCTGTGAAATCTTAAAACAAGATTTTCACACTGGGGGCTGAAAAAGAGTTTTGGCTTCTTTTTGTCGACTTTTTGGTATATATATGCAAAAATATCTGACTTGGATGGCTAGGCATAAGATTCTCAATGAATCTAAAACCTTGATTGTTTACCACTGCTCATGTTGGTAAAACAGTATGACTGTGTATTTGTGAGATATTGTTTAGTTGCACTCTTGTTTCTGTCACCTGTCTCAGTCATCATCGTCCATGATACATCATCCTCTGCACCAGACTTAAGAACTCCCATTTCACATGTTTGTACGATGAACATAGATATTTTTCAACTTATCTCTCTTATTCTGAAAGAGACTGGAATGTCTAAAAGGAACGCAGTTGTTCTGAAAAAGTATTAGTAATGAAAGAAGTGATGAAAATCAGTGTAAATAGTGTTTCTTCGAGGGAAATATAAAAATTTGCTTTTGCTTCTCCTCTTTTCATGTAAACAATACTGCACAAATAAGATGAAACTAGTTGTAACATCAGGGTGTTCATTTCATGATTTGTAAATTGTATTTACTGTGTTCTAAACTAGACAAAGATAATGTCGAACCTGCCTTAACGGAAACCCGTGTAAAACGGAAACCTGTCTTAAGGGAATCTCCCCGCTCCCCCCTTGATATATTCCTCTTTAATTACCTGTAAAAAACGGAAACCTGTCCAACGCGGAAACGGAAAGAAAAATCCTCTCCCTTTCGAGGATTTCACCTGTCTAAGACGGAAAATGCTTTGCCCGCTTAGCCCTGATTTGAAACAAAACTCGCAAGTTTGGTTCCGCTGGCTCTAAACTAACGCTACGGTCATGCAGCTGGGTGAGGAAGGGGAGTAGGAGTGCAATTTGGGGGTAGATGTTACCCCATCATCTGAGCCCTGAGCGATGCAGATGGTCAGTGGAGTGTGGGTGTGATATCTCACGACTGCCCGTGAGAGTGCTCGAGTAGCGAGCCACTAGCCAGAGGTGTGAAATTAGATTGACCAATGCCTGCCGCCCCGATCGTACGGCCAGCCGAGAAAAGAGTTCCTTGAATCGTTTTTACAATGATAGCAGTAAGGGGTGGCATTGGTACGAGGGGCTAAGGATGGAAGCAAGGGAGATGTTCAAACGTTTCTGTTTTTAATAGGTCAAACAGTGGTCCCATGAAAGGCAAGCACTGGTGGTAATTAGATAAGTAAGACTGACGCATGTCATTATCAGACCGGATAGCCTTTGAGAGGTGTGAAGTTTTGACCACTGCTTGCCCATCGGACAAGCGATCCTTGATCCCACTGACTGGGCCTTTGAACACCCCCCCCCCCCAACCTCCTTCCCCACCTAAATACCCCTGTCTATGACGGAAAATGTGTAAGACTAAATTTTTTTCTGGCTCCCTTACGATTCCGTCTTACACAGGTTCGACTGTATCTGTCAAGATAATGACCAATCCATTATTTCTAAAAGGTGATATATAGTAGATTTAGTCACCCACTGCCTTTCCATGCCTTTTGTTTATCTTTCCGGCTGTGCTGTATGGTTTCTTGCCCTCCACAGAAAGTAGATGACTATTTCAGCCCACTCACCAGATTATCCTCAGTATGCCATGCCTCATGTGTTGCATGAAATGAACTAGCATACAGTAAATACTTTTTTATTTTTCCCTACAGTCTTTACATTTCTAAAAATGAAATGTTGAACAGACACATGAACAGTTGGTCTGTGGTGGGATTGTTGTGTAAAGTTATGTATGTTTTTAAGTCTACAACAGACCAGTCGCTTCCTTCTAAATGCCTGTGACTCTGACACCATGGAGTGTGTGGGCAGAGGGTTTGCTGCCCATCTGCAGGATGCAAAACGTGGACGATATTTATGGGGAGGGGTTTAATTCTGGAGTAGGCATGGCTCAGATTATGTTCAAGGGTGTGACTTTTGGATGATTTCCTCCCGTCTTTCATTTGGAGCTTGTGCAACTGGAAACTTGCCAGCATGAGGCACAATGATTTGCTACACCTGTCACATCACACAAAAAATGTACTCAAGGGATGGGATATGGGGATGACCAGCCCTATTCTGTCTTCTTCTCACTCGTCATTTGATCACAAACAGAGTTACAGGGTTTCATGCACACTCTATATCTTTTACTATGCTCTTTGTTGAAAGTGAATATCTTCAGTCATTCCAGACTGGGCAAGGACTGACTTGTTTTCTTATTGGAGGTTTGGCAGGAGCAAGGAAAGCCGTGTTTAACTGAGGAGGGGAGAGTAACAAAGTGGTGCAGCAAATGTGATTATTGAGCCGAGTGCCAGTTGCAAGAGTTGAGTCCTGGTAGTTGGACGTGTCGATTTTACTACAGGGTCCTTAAACTCCGATTTGATTGTAGATTTAAATTTCCTTTTCACAAACCAAGTCTTTTAGAAGGACCTTGAAGTTTCCTTTTAGGTCAATAAAGCTGCTTATTTTCCTGTCTGAGATAAGTCTGACAGTGCCTGGTTCTCTGGTGACCCATCATTTGTAACATTTTTATTAATTTGATTTTTTCCCTAGAGGCACTCTCACACGCGCAGAAACTTGCCCAGATTTCATCACACTAAAGTTAATCTGTTTACAATAAGGATTTTGTTCAGGAGTGGAAAGGCTATGATAGAAGTAGGACCTCTGAAGAGCTTTTACAGTTTTTAAGGTTTACACTGAATGAGAAAACAGAATAGAAGGAATTGGAGGAGAAAAGGGCTCGTCTATGGAAACTTGTTAGGAAAGGGTTAATGTGACTCCACAGCAACAGATGGAAAATCGGACTGTACTCGTGGATTATGCAAGGTCCTGCCTGTCATTTTGAACTACATTTATGCAAGGCTCGCACACTTTCACATTATTTCATGATTGTCACATCATTAACTTTTCAAATAGATATTTTACCCAAACAGCCTTTGTGTTATCAACTATGTGATATTCCAAGTTATACATTTGATGTGTTTTGTTTCATTATGAATAACAAATGAAATATTTGATTATCTTCATGAATGAAGTTTTATTGTTCTGTATTTCATAATAGCATGTTTTCATTGATCCTTTTTGTGTGATGAGAGTTGTTAACAGTGACAAAACCTATGGTGAAAACATTTTTTTTTAAACCCTTACCAATTGTTGAAACTTTTTCATCTGAGACTCAAAGCCTGGTAAATATTTTTCAACTTTGTGTAAAATAATAGGCAAAGGTGCAGTCATCATTGACCAGATTTGTTTTTACTAATAATGTATTTTGCTCTTTTTGATTTGTAATGGTTATTCCAGTAAGGTTTTCTGATTGGAGGAAAATGTTGAATATAAATCACAAGCATGTCTGCTGACTGATGGAGAGTTTTCACCTGAGAGAGAGAGAGACAGAGACACAGAGACAGAGAGAGAGAGACACAGAGAGACAGAGAGAGAGAGATAGAGACAGAAAGAGAGAGAGAGCACAATACCATAATATGTGTTTCAAAGGGTTATTTACCATTATCATGGAATTTACTTAATTTCTTTGTATGAATGATGACACTACCTTAAAATCATAAGCCAATGAAAACAGACTGTGCATAAAGATTTTGTCTTTTAAAGATCATGCGGTCTTCTTTAGTTAGTTCTAGAAAGGTTTTTAACTGTCTAATTTTTAAGTCCCAGGAGTATGTACTGCCACTGTCTATTTGTTGTATAAATTATGAATTACACTGTTAAATTATGTTTTACCTTACACTGTAATGGTGATCCAGTCCCTTTTCCTGTGGTGATGTCTTGAACACAATTTGTCTTTCTGCCATTTCCCATTCCACTGTGATTTCTGTCAGTCGTGGTACCATCGTTGTCACTGTTCCTCGACATCTCATTGGAAAACCTTTGTGTTAAAAACATCTTAGTAGAAACAAAGCATCCTATCTGATGCTTTTTTTACATCCTGTTTTAAAACAGCTGTGTGTGGTTAATTTATTGGGGTTTGGTTGGGTTTTTTTTGGGTTTTGAGGTTGTTGGGATTTTTGGGGGGTTTTTGTTGACCGTGAAGTTGCCGCTATACTTCTTCATCAATCTATTATTTTGTCTTTAATCTAGATGGCATAATATGTTTAAGGCTATGCATGAAACTATTGAGTAATGAGGCAAACACATTTCTGATATTAAGTGAGAAATTAGGGTTGTGTGTATTCAGGATCGTACTATTTAACTTCTGAATTAAAATGCACTGGATGAGAATTCAGGTCATACTTCTTTACCAATATTTAGATTGAGGTTTTTAGGGTTAAAAAAAAATTAAGAATGTACTTACTCTCTCTAAATATAATGCCCCGTCTTTCTAATAATATAAGACAGATATAATAATAATGATATATCTCTACATTCACAGTTATTATTATTTTTCACAAATCTGTTTAGGGAACATTAAGTCTTTTGATTAGGTTGAATGCCTTTTTTGTTAGATTTGACTGAATAATATCACACTTTCTAGAAGCAGTCTTCTGTTAAAGTGAAACAAAACTGAGGAAGCAAAAATGTTGCTCTTTACCCAATTAATGCTATACAAGAAAAAAGTGACTCATT